CTGCCGTTGCTACGTTAGTTCAAACAGTAACAATGGACTATTTTTCTTAGTGGATGCATGTCAATTTAAATAAATACATACAACTATTTTTTAAATCAATAAAATCATTTTCTAAATCCATAAAAGCATTTCAATTAATATTGGGAGTCATATTGTTACTTTGTTGAGAATGTGGCCATGTAATAAGCGGGATAATGTGCAGCAACATTCTTCATAGATCGGCATGAAGGTGTTCTTTTCCCCATAATGACCGCGTCGCTGCACATTATCTCTTACATATGATTATATAGAGTCATTATTCATTTGTTTTAAAGCAGGAGGCGCAAACGCTTGCCTCGGGGAGGGAGAAAAAGAGCCACAGAGGAGAATAAACAGAAGGGCAACCATGGCAACCATGCAAGGGAAGTCTTCTTCGCTGCTTTTGTGGCAGACTACAGCGCCACTTACAGGCCTGGCATATGTACTACAGCGTCTCCAGCGCTTTCGAGCGGCAATGGCCGGCCGTGGCCCAACCCCACATTCCCCTGATAGGTGGAGAGTTGGCACAATAGCCGTAGCGCCACCGTCCTGACATCAGGACAGTGTTCAAATCTGGATCAGTTTTTATCAGATCCGTTGCAGCCCCTTTTTTAGAGATTTGGGTATGGAGGAAAATAGAGAGGGTTGTGTTTTATGACACTTGGTGAGTTCCCTGGAACACCGGGGACACATATTCATGTATAAAAGACGTACAAAAGTGCATTTTGCATGACAGGTCCCCTTTAAATAAGCCCCCCAGGGTTGCACCACCTGCACAGAGTGCATTGTGGGATCTAACTAGACCGAAACAGTCTGGAGACAGAGAGGCTCATGGGAGTGAGAGGATTATGAGGGGGTCTCTCTCTCTTTGCAGTGTAATCTTACTAAGGCAACCCCAATTCTGCACCCTCAGTATTGACCGATCGGCTGCAGACACATACACCGTATTCTGATTTAAATTGCATTGTTTTGGTCAAAAACTAAACAAAGGAAGAAATATTGTTTACTAGATTACAAAAACACCTTAGCTCAGGCTTTTGTTTCCACTGTAATATAGTTTTACCTCGTCTTCCCTTCATGTAACGTCCTCTCTAGTGCAACTTCTCTCTCTGTTTTGTCCTTGCTATGACTTTAAAACAATAGTTTTAAATTAAAGAAACTAACATCATTTGAGGGTAATGTAAGAGGCAAACGTTCATACAGTCATTCTTTATACAGAATTAGCTCTAATAGGACATTTTGGCCATTTTGTCCTCCAAAAAGGAGGATATGGGTGGTAATGATTCAATTTAATACAATACCTTTTTATGGAGCACCCAGCAGACATCTAGTGGTGTAATTTAATATAGATGAGAGGAAAGAGAGGACCTGCTGTACTTCGCACAGTATAAAAATGAAGAAATGCAGCACCACGGACAGCTCCTAGAGTTTTCATCAGGCTTCAAAAGTAAAAGTGTTCCATGAGAAATGACATGGGAGGTTTGAATTAAAACTTTAAAGATGTGTTCCCTTCCCTTTCTATATTTGCTCTTGTTTAACAGAGAGTATGATTGACACTTTGTATTCCCCCGAGTCTGACCTCAGAACAGTCTCAATTTACCGGAGCATGGACTCAAAAAGTAGTTAAAGCGACCCCACACAGGGAAGCTGACCCAGGTTGACTCTCACACGCTGGTACTGTGAACAAACTGCTCTGGATTACAATCTACTGAGAGGACGGACCACTGCATTACTTCCCTAATTTGTTCACAAATGCATTCCTAGACAGTTTTTACCTCCTGGCGTGGCACGTCATCTGATTAAAAGATGCTGGCAGTGCTGGAATAAAAGGAGGGTCGGTTGTCTTTTAGAATTTAAATGTTTGTCATAAAGACGCTCGGTGCCATTCAAATGCAATCAACAACATTGCAGTGTTTTCACTCTGCATGATGGATGACATTAGTCACACAACCAGAGACAGACAACAGGAAGTGGAATGCATCGACCAGATAAATGATCTTCCCTTTTATTGTGGGAAAAACCAAACGCCTCTTAGCTAGAAGCCATCTTCTGCGTCATTCATCAGACCCTGCAACGCTTTGCCTACTCTCCAGTGTCCAATGAAGTTGTTCCTTTGCTCAGTACAACCTATAATCCTTGCTGAGTGCTGATAGAAACATGCCTCTGTTCGGCCATTAGCTGTCATTCTATATGGCCCAATTCCAAATCACACCCTGCCCACTGCCACTCCGTGGCGGAGTGACACTCGCAGCTCAACGAGGCTCCCTCCTGTCAGATGGAGGCAGTAAATACAGCGGCAAGCTTTGGGACGGCCTCCCCTCTCTCCGGCAGAAACAGGAAATGCCGTACCTGTATGTAACAACGGTTTCAAATCAGCATCTCTTTGACAAAAAATCTAATTAATAACTCAAATAAAACTCCAAACATCTTTAATTGTGTCTTCTTAGTTTTTGCAACAGTCTGTAAATATACACAACTTTATAATAAAATGCACACATTTACCTTTTTCTAGACTAAACACAGGTATACGATCCTACGTTAAAAAAATATGAGGTTATCATGAGGTTGTTAACATCGCAGTTTATCAGTGGATGTTTGCAGGAACTGTTTGTATACGGCTTGTTTCCTGACGGACCCACACAGCGTTGACTCCGGTCAGGTAGGGCAGCAGGTGAAGTCAGCACAGATGCAGACTCGCTGTTTGAGGGCTTGATAACCCACTCCCCCTCCACACTCGTTGGTTTGGAACAGCACTTAATGTGGCAAACGGAGGGGTAGTGTGTAGGTGTAGGGGGTGGATTGGAATTGGGCCACTATATGTGTGGTAAGGTGGGACGGGCTATGCATTGTTCTTATTATATTATTTTAGGTTTTCTAGCTCCATTACTATTGTAATCTCTTCACCTAGTATAATGTCAATGGATGAAATCAAACAGAGGCCAAATCTAGTCATTGTATATATTTCTCCTAGTAAACCAATCACAATACATGATCCAAACCATATATTGTATTTTAGTCTTTCATACGCTTGATGTCCTTGTCCTGTCTGTAACACTCATTTTAAACAGAGGGTCAACCACAAACTTTATATTTTCCGTGTCTCTAGGGGGGCTCAGTTATTACCTCAAACAGCTGAGCACTGTAGTTTTGATTTGACTAAATTGGGACTATTTTCAGCCATGGATTAATACACATTTGTTGAGCTAATGAGTGTATACAATGGCTGGTTGAATTTGACATGTAAAAAATGACAGCGCCCATGTTTACCATAATAAACAAACTTGTCTAACAGTGCTGTCATATCCTTCCAAGGGAAGATCGGCTCTAATGTCTCCTTCAAATGTGTATTTAAAACTACACACTTTTCAGAAAGTAACACAAGTATAAAAGGAGTAAAGACTTTGTAAAATATTTGAAAGACAAGATAATGTCAAATAATATCTTAAATAAATGATTAAATAAAGTAAATCTTTTCGTTTTTCAGAACAAAATCAATGTCTAGAACCAAACCATTGCAAAGTCATATATTGTTTTGGTGTGTGTGATTGCCTTATATTGGTCCTTGTTTGTGCCATCATGCACAGCAATATGTTCGAACAGTATCACATATTAAAAGCAGCATCTAATGTTGATGAGAAGAAAGTGACATCATCGCTGAAAGATTTCTTGTTTTGGGACTTTGGCACATGAGCGCAGTACACCGGCATGCAGGACTCATATCCGTCATGCTTCTCTCACACACACACACACACACACACACACACACACACACACACACACACACACACACACACACACACACACACACACACACACACACACACACACACACACACACACACACACACACACACACACACACAAATCAACCTGTCTTCATATCCGCAGCATACATAAAGCAATATACAAATAACATCACGCTGATATACAGCCCCTTCACTCTGCTGCGCTCACCTACTCCGTGCAATTGGCTCTACATGTCACATCCTTCCATCAATCCCAATCTGCCAATCTGAAAGACAATTTCCCCGTTAACAGCTGGACGATAAATGAATGTCTCAATTTCAATAGCAAGTGGACAAGTCAACATTTCTTTACTGCTTGTGTTTCATTTCCCCTTTAAATTAACTTGGCCGGTTTACGGAAAACCACCTGATAAATATTTCAAAGTGTAACTCTCAGAAAACTGCAGGAGAGTACGGCTCCTGACCTGCAGAGGGATCTTTCTCCTGCTGATGGTGGCGGGGCTACTTTGAGGTTTTACTGATAGAGTTAATGTGGTAAATGCTGATTCAGCTAAGTGAGTGGTTCCCCTTTTTATTTGTGAGACAGAAATATAAAGGTTTTCTTTGTTTCTTATCGCTTGTATTAATAAATGTAAGCTCACTTATAGAAACTCATTGTGGATATGGAAAATATGAAAGTCGATGAACTGTCCACAGACCTAAATGAACAACATAATGAATGAAAAAAGGCACAGCTTTAGCAGTATAGTATATTTTTTTGGAACATTTTGCAATGTAATAGGTGTCTCATATTTAGTCAATTTGTTCCACTATTTTACATTTTGCTCATATAAGTCTTTAAGGTTCAGGTCAATCTCCATACAGATTATTTTGTAAACATTTGACAAACCTTTGCAGCCATTTCAGTGTGAAGGCTTTCTTTTGATCTGATAAGAGTATTTTAGACAAGGAGAGTAGTACGACTATTAAGACTGTTAAGAGTAAGAAGTATTAAGAGTACATAGTTGAAGGTTCCTCCATATATTTATTACGGTATGCTAGCTGATTACATTCATGAAATAAAGTCATTTAAGGAATAATCCTCTCCAGCGCCTATTTGTGAGAGAAATTACGTTTATTCATAAAACCCTTTCTACCCTTATGTGGAATGTTATTGTAATTATGTCACATCCTATATAGCTAAGCCTTGCTCAACCTTATAATTCAATGCTCCTCCCTGTGCTTTGTGTGTCTCAGTCCAGAAACAGCCTACAGGGGGGGGATATGGACGGGGCCAGGAGGCTGGGCCGACTCGCCCGTCTGCTCAGTATCGTCTCCATCGCCCTGGGGGTCGTCATCATCGTGGTCTACGTCTCAGTTTCAGGTACAGAAACAACGACAAGAAAGGAGACGTTTTAAAATTAGCAAGTTTATGTTTGGGATAATGATTCATCTTTACATACAGTGTTTGGTGAAGCCTCTATAACTCAGTATGCTAATTAGTATTCATGTATTTTATGATGATAGTATATCTTGCATCAGCTGAAAGTGTTTGTATGTGCTCGTGTCTACTCACAGATACAATAGATACACACAGGGCTTTTGCCAAGTGTTCAATAACAAAGAATACCCACTGCATTACGGTTACAGCGTGATATATGACACTACCACACAAGCATGAGATGTGTGTGTGTGTGTGTGTGTGTGTGTGTATTGATTTAGCACTGCAGCGACTGTAGTAGGGCTGACTGCAGCAGGGCGGCTACCTTACCGCTCTAAGCCTCACACACTTGAGCTGCACCAGTCAAAGAGATGATGAATTTGATGGCGGGTTTCAGCTGTCAATGTGTGTGAGCAGACTTTCTCTGACGATGCCATGCTTCTCTTCTTCTTTCCTTTGCAGTAAGCTAAAACTGAGGAGGAAACATTTACCGTGACAGTCGAACCACGGATGCAACAAAAGGGGATAAGCCGTTCCAAAAAAAAGAAAAAGAAATACAATTCCTTACTCCATGCCATATTGTAATTACATCATCACCGACCTCAGAAAGCAACACAAAAAATTGTCAACTAACGAAAGCAAGTTAACAAATAAATACATTCAGAGAAAAATCCAGAGATGCATGCATTAGAATCCAGTAACAATTGCTTGACAAAAATAACAAGAAACCTGAAGTAACAATGTTCAGGTTAAAACAGAGGAAACAGAAAATGATGATTGTATGCAGCCTGGAGGACTCATAAAGGTTTCTTGAAAAAATGGACTTCCTAAAACGAAGAGGACGATCAACGCTTGAGAGAGAGTGAAGAAGAAACTGTGTGCTCCTTTGAGAAACTGATTCTGGGTTTGGGCTTCAAACGTCAGACAGCTGCATATAATCCACATATATTCCTTACTGAACCTCTTGCATTCAAAGCATATACAGCTACAAATATATTTGAAATATGGATATATGAACATATATATATATACAATAGATGTACATTTTATAAAAATGTTTGTATGCCAAGTGGTGCTGGGTTTGTTAAGAGTGTTACGATGGCTGCTTCGTCAGCCCTTTTATCAGTAGAATTTCAAGGGTTTGTGAAAAGGGTCAGGGAACACGTTTTTAAATTGTGTTATTTATTATCATTTTTTCAACAAAAAATAAGGTTGAGACCAATTGCATGCCTTAATGTAGATTACCAACATCCTGCCTTCGTTTTGACTGTTATTAGTTGTGTCTTCTTTTGAAGGAGTCAGAGAGGCCGACAGGTTTGCACATGAAGAGTGATTTGTGTACGTTATGTGAGTCCAGCCGCTGTAGAGTGTGTATCACCCCTCGCCCCTTTGTGTCTCCAAAATATCTTGAACCTTGCCATGCTCTGGCAGAGACTGAAACGCATGCCTAACACCCCAAAAACCTTCTTTTCCTTTCACATCCCCCTATCTTCACCACAAAACCTGATGAAGTGGCTTCAGTTCTGTCTCATCTTATTCCCTTAAACTCCATTTTAGATGTGCCTTGTTCTACCTTTGTACATTATAGTGTTATAGTTCCTAATTTCCATTCTTACATTGACTGTTATATGCCACTGAATGTTTTTCTGCTTCTTGTATTGTTATGAAATGTATTTATATGGGAAATATATATGTAATATGTACGCATGTTATATGCCAAACTGGCTTACACATTTATTCTTTGTAAATGAACAGGCCTAAGAGTTTGACTGAGTAACAACAAATAGCATTTAAAGAACATGTCTTTGAAACCCAAGCACGACTGATTGTCTGTATGTGTCACTTTATCAGAAAGAAGTCACTGCATTTATCCCATGTGGCTCCTCAGGACTGTTGTATTTACACATTACAGGCTTATGCTACTAGCACAGGGAACATCACTGTAAGACCGTGTCGCTTTATATGAATCCACAGCGCTTCTTTGGGCATTCATGCTTCAATTTTTAGTGCGTGTAATTTAAATCGGGAAAGGTTTCTTTAAAAAGGTATAAACTGTTTTTAAGGGCTCTAACAAGTGAAACACGAGCTGATTTCAACTGATGAGTGATTAAATGTATCTACCAAGTAATAAAATAAACATCCACAATGTAAAGATGAACAGCAACCTGTCAAACATTAACAGTACATAGCACAATGTGTTGTGTGAAATGGGCTTCAAGAAATTCCATTTCAATTCATAGTTGTACATACAAATCCCACAATCCATCTAAAGCAGCAAAATCCAAAGATTCCCCATGTTAACCACCCAATTAAAAACATGTGACATAACATTGTTGCCTAAATGGCAACACGCGTGTACTTCACTGCTCTAGGTTTACTCTCTAACAGCCAAGTGTCTAGCCAATAAGCTCTGCTCTGTCAGTAAAACAGTTCAAACCTTCCTTTCATTCAGATGTATTACTGTGTTTCTTTTCCAGTGTACTGAATGTGCCAGTCTTCATCTCTGTGGTGTACATTGTGCATGTCTGTAATAAATGTTACCATGCATGGTCCAAGTTTTTTGCCTTTTGATGATGTTGTTTCTTGGAGTTGTTTAGTGACTTAAAAAAAGTATCAAGAACAATATACTGCAGCTCTCTTCATTAATAATATAAGCATGCTAACAGGCTAATGTTTTGCAAGTCAAATGTTAACTACGTTCACCAGCTTAGTTTATCTTTTTCGAAAACTAACAAGTATTTATTAGCACTTCAGCTGAGTCTGACATAATGTATTTGATTATAATAAAGTATGTATTTAAAAAAATGGAAATATTATCCTCTTGAGAACATGGCCATCCATCGAATACTTACGGAGATGTTTCAGTCAGGAGATAAATAGTGTACCGAAAGAACAATGCTGTCGACCATTGGTAAGAAGGAATACCCAACTGTAAGTGTATGGTTTGAACTGAAATATATATTAAAACAATTTTACTTATGAGAAATGTCGCTCATTATGCAAAAGGTAATAATCCAGAGAGAGATAGAAACATTCAAAATCATAAAAAGTACAAATATGATTTCAATTACCTTACACATACTATATAAGAGTGGACAAAGTAAAAGCTACACATGTACAGTGAAATAGAAAACAAGACGGTATGTGAATGTAGGGCTGCACAATTAATCTATTGTTAATCCGGATTCCAAATGTAGGTTTCCCTAAATGAAATGAACATGAGTAACTGTGATGGAAATTTGAATTTCGCGCTCAGCTTGTAGAAAACATTTTCTGGATGTTGCAGCTGCAGTCAGAGTAGAACAATATGCAACTGAGAACAGAAGAACAAAACCAGAATGCACTAATTCAGGTGAAGACGACCCTATTCAAGCCTTATTTTAAAGCAAATATATGTTAATGTTGGGGTAAAATGCACATCAAAACTCATGCACATTTAACAAAATCAGTTAGATTTATATAAACTCACCAAAGCCAATGGGATTTGGCTATTTTCTTGCTGGGCTATTCCAGACATCTGAATGATTTTTACTCAAAGGAATAAAAACACGTTTCCTGTTCTGAAAGTGACACATTTCTCATTTCTGAGCACTGTCACAGACACGCCATGGAAATGTTCAATATGACATTTCTTAAAGATAATGTCATGTTTCAACGTTTTCATTTGGTATCGATGATATCAGATCATTGCCCATTAGTACACTAGCAGGTATGAAGCACACATGAAAGCAAAATCAGCTGTGCCATTTTTAATTATTTATAAGTGAAATGAAAATATCTTATCCTTAAAAAATCCAATCATAAAGTAAATTGTAATGAAAATAATCGTGTAATATTAATAATTAATAATATCGTGAGTACTATTAATGTGCAATGTTCACTTTATTGAGACGGAATGGAAGAGATGGCTTCTGCAGTAAATGTAGGCTACAGCTCTTGCTCTAAACTCTGTCCCTACAGCGGGTCTGACACACATTGTGCCTCAGGAAGACAAACACCATTTATCATGGCCGCTACAACTGGGTTACAGACATCTCTGGGAAGAAAGGGGGAAGAAAGCCATTTGTGATAGATATTTCACTTCTAAAGCCAGCTCTCCACAATACACAGAGTTTCTGCCTGATGCAATCCTTACACACCAATCCAGAAACAAATCCGTTAAGAAATACAACCATTATCTGTGAGAGCTTTTTCTAGGTAATATAAATGTAAAATTGTACTTTACCTATCTTTAACGTCCTCGTAAAAAGCTTTTACGCCCATCAATACAACAATTGAGGCCATCATCAACTGAAAGATTTAACAAGCCACTCTACGTGTATGGTTTCTACAGACACAGACTTACATTTCAGATGCTGTGAGAAACAGACTTTGTGCTTGTCAGAAGTTACCCTGTTACTGTACCCTTCTAAGTGAGAATATCTGCCACTTAGTTCTGCTTCGGCGCCGCTGGGTTTGACTGGCTGAAATATTCAGGAGCTCAATGCTTCAGCACCTCCGCGACAGCATGTACATGTCTGGACCAAATTTAGACTCCAGCACATTGCTTCCCTCCTGAAGTAAGTGAGAGATTCATGGGATGGTGGCTATGCTTGTCTGGCTACTGTTTCACTTTCAGTCTTATTTTGTGAGGAAGGCATCACACAGAAGGAATGAGGACAAGACTCCAATGTTATCCTTTTCCGTCCATTGAAGTGAGCCTGATGCTGTGAGACATAAAACACATTGATGTTTCTCACACACACAAGCTTTCACATTCTTACACCCCTCCCCAACAAAGACTTTAATCTAAAAGGGTCACCCCCAGCCGGCAATCAACCCCTTCTCAGATAAACGCTTGATTTCCCATCTTCAAACGCACAAGTCACTTTGTACTTCAGGTGCAGTGAAATGGAATAGTGGTTCATTGGCTCTGCCAGGCAAACTATACATGCAGAACGGATAAATCCTTCAACAGCCGACCATTAAAGCAGGACGTCTTCATTCCTCTTCTCCAGAAACCTAAAAGTGAATAGAGCTGGCGGTGTGGTGTTAAAGACATCTTACTCTTTAAAGGAACTTTGTCACAGTTACCCATTTCAGAAGAATCTGATAACTGTGTTCAGGCTGCAATCCTGTCCCCTCTACCACTCTCAGGAAGGATGAAGCCTCTTGGATAATTGATCAAACTAACAATCCATTTTGACCTCATACTTTTTATATCCTTGCTTTTTTGTTGTTAAATATTAACATGTGCTACATTGACATTTTTTTACAGAGGCTGTTCAGTATTTGGATTACGTTTTTGAATTTGGAAAATGTACTTTTAACATTAATCATTTTCTGCAAATGCCGACAACCAACCATCATCGGTGATATTCCAGCCAGGGAGTCCCCAATCTTTCTGTCCCTCTCTTTATAACAATAAGACAAATACAAAAATAGGGGTGAGATATAACTGATTGGTTTGTCGGGTGTTTGAAAATTGTGAAAACCAAAATAAAAAGCTGATCCAGGCCCTCCGAACTGTCTGAAGAAGTTACCAGAAAGATTTTTCACTCTCCCCGTACTACTTTTCTTACATTTTGGAGTGCCTGGATGGCTTTACTTTCACATAAAACACAACAGTAATTTATTTTTAAAGGAATGCTCCACTCATTAGATAATTAATCAAAACTTCAGTATTTAGTGAAACATTATGTTTAAACCATACCCTGAAGAAATCAGCGATATTCCCCGGTAAATAATGATTGTATAGCTCTTTTTTTTATCAAAACCTGTATATTCCGTCAGGCCGCTGCCATTTTGCCCATTTTCAGTAGTCACGTGATGGTCGTGACGTCATCCATGCGTTCACTTTGTAAACACACGAAAACATGGCGAAGTTTTGAGCAATATGAAGAGATTGGAAGGGGGAATTCAGCCATACAGGTTCGAGCCTACTTAGTACTACTTAGTAGATACAATGATTTTGATTACTAGATATGTATGCATGTAGTACCACCCTTGCTAGCGATTCCCTCTCTAGTTTAGCATACTCAGCCTCGTTGTCCCTGGCCTGGCCCTAGAACCACGATTTTATGGGGCCGGAAAAACTGGGGGAAAATACCCACTAGCCGGTACTACGCTATATGGAAAGGCCACCAAAAACTGGCCTGGCCTGGACGATAAAGGACGTTTAAACGGGGCTACCCGCTGCAATGGAAATGCGCTATAACATACCTTATTCTTACTCCGAGCACTACTTCTGGTCCTCCGTCGCTTCACACTTGCAGAGGGCGATTTCTCAACTGGCCGAACTGGTGTCCTGGTCGGCGATGACACCAGAAAGACCGATGGTACTTAAGTTAAGTAATGGTTGTTCAATAAATCCCATGTTATGTTTTATCATACTACTCAGAGTAGTCGTCCGGAAACTTGAAATGTTCGCCTGTGGATCTTTCGGTTCGGGCCGGCCACATTTCGCTAGCCACTGCCTCCGAACGTACTTCCTACGCTTACCTTTTGGCAACAGATGGAACCGAGCATTCCGTGGATTGTTCCTATCAGAATTGTGGCAATGTTTCGCGATACAATGAGGCATATTTGAAGAGAGTAACTACAGTAAATAACATGAACATCAACGTGTCCTCGAAACCAAACGCATGGTTTACGTCACGTCCGGTAAAATGGCGCCGCCCACAGTGTTGATGTTATTTCGGTAATTAATCAGTTTAAAATCACTGATAATGTCATCGGATTAAAAAAAAAGAAGAAAAAAGACTGGCAGAGACTGGTCTGTTTTATCGGATGATAATTATTTAAAAATGAGTGTCATGAGCATACCATTCCTTTAAATGGCAATGTACAACTACAGTTTTAGTGACTTCCGGGGCGCTCACGCTGGTGCGACCTGGGAGCAGCTGTGTGTGTCATGCTTTGTTTTTTTGTTGTTCTTCTAGTTTGTGTGAACTTTTCTACATCCAGGAGCTTGTGTGGATTATTTTAATTATGCGTCTATATATGCGTCCTTGCGGTGCTTTGGACTCTTTTCAGCCGTATGGCATGGGGACTCAGCGGTGACTGCTGAGTCACAGGCTCATCTACAGCCGCGAGCTGCTGCTGGATATGCAACCCAATCTCACGGCATTTCGTGTTCACCAACACGATTTTTAATCTATTGATTCGTGTTCACC